CATCTCCAGAGACCACCATTCCCCCTACTCCACAGATCGCATCGGCGATCAAGAGACTGCCCACGGTCCCCTGGAAGAAAGTAGAGGACGCAAACCCAGGTCCGCCCAATCCTAGGGCTCTTGCCTCGGCCTTCACCACGCCCACACTCGCTCACCAGGCCCACACCCCACTCGCCACGCCCACATTTGCTCCCATACAGGAGAGGGCTGGGCTGCAGATCCAGGAGGGAGCCCTGGCACAACACGCATGGGACCCTGAAGAGAACTGGGCACAGAGCTGAAAGGAAGATCCACAAAGCACCATGAACGCAGCCCTCACCTCACACCTCACTGACATCCCGGAGAAGGCAGGACTCGAGGCCAGGGAAGGGGAGAGAAGGCAGGGGAGGCTGAGTCCTGGCTTCCTGGCAAACTCTGGGTGGCCCGAGCTGAGCAAGAGTCCTTTCCTTTCTCTTGAAAGCCAGCACTCATCCTCCCAGGGCCCCTGCCTGTCTGTCCTCGGAGCTGCAGCGCCCCTGGCTCCATCGCCTCCCCTAGTCCTGGCCGGTCCCCAGGTGATGCAGCCAATGAATGGATGAACAGACATTGGAGGGAGTGAGTCAAGGGGTCAGCTTATGCTGCAGAGTGAAAGCCAGGACAAACACCATTCTGTCTGAGATTTCAGGGCAAGAATAACAACTCTTTCCTCAGAGAATTAAGACCAGAAATTTAAACTAAATGGGGCAGAGTTTCACAGAGCACCTACCCAATTTTACCATATTCTCATCCTGACACACTCTACCGTGAATAAAGAAAAAACTTCAAAGCGAGGACACCACCTTTAAGCCCAGAATACCTACCGTATACTTGCTTAGTCATCATCTCTCTGACCTCACGGGATTGCTGTGTCAGTAATATTTTCTCCCAACTCACATGCATAAAACAGTAAAATGTTAAAGGTCGGGTCTGGCACCAGTTGATGATCCTGTACCCCGTAATGTCTCTGCCTTGACTAACACGCACTGCATTC